GTTTTCACTCTTAAAATCAGGTCTTTGTCCCAAGTTATACATAGGCACAGGAACCTTGGTGCCATTGTGGTTACACTTTGGGCTGCTAACTATTTTAACTGCTGCAACGCCAGCAGTTAAAAACCACCAGCTACCCCACTGGGGAAAGATGAGGCATTCTCAGGTTCTACTTGTCCTTGGTGTTTTTATGAGGCAGAATTGACTCTATAGCAGTGAGGTTTTTTTTGTTTTGTACATGGATAAGATAGTAGTCAAATGTCATTCTTTCATGTAGAGAAATGTAGTTGTCCCAGTGCCATTTGTTTATGAGATAACGATATTTGGCATCCTTGTTGAAAATCAATTGGTCATAAATGTATGAGTTTATATATGGACTCTCAGTTGTCTTCCTATTGTTCTATGAATCTATTCTTATGCATTACCACAGTTTTGATTATTACAGCTTTGTAGTACATTTTGAAACCAGTTTGAATTCTCTCCTTTTTTCCCCTTATAATCAGTTTAGATTTTGGGGGGCCTCTTTCAATTCCTTGTGGCTTTTCCCATTTCTTAAAAAAAAAATTTAGAAAAAAATGTGTTAGTAATATGATAGGGATTATAGTTAATTTTTATATTCTTTACTTAGTATTACAATTTTAGTATGTCTTCCAGTCCCTGGGAATTTATGTCTTTCTTTCAGCATTGTTTTGTAATTTTCAGAGCACAAGTCTTGCTTGTGGCCAAATTTATTCCTAGCATTTCACTCTTTTTGATGCTATTGTAAGTAGGATTGTTTTCTTAATTTCTTCTCCAGATTGTTCATTGCTAGTGTATATAAATATAACTGGTTTTTATTTATGTGTTGATTTTATATCCCACAATGTTTCTGATTTTTTTTTTTTTTTAGTTCCAGTATGTGTGTGCGGCAAGGGGGTGGTAAATTAGTCAGGGTCTTTTATGTATAAGATTGTCACTTGTGAATAGAATTGCTTTATTTTACTACCAATTTAAATGACCTTTATTTATTATTCTTGTCTAGTTGCCCTAGGTAGAGCTTCCAGTCCTATGTTGGGTATCAAAACTCACTGCCACAAGTCATTCTGACTTATAGTGACTATGTTGTCTTAATTAGTGTCCTCTATTTTACCTCACTTGATTCTATTGTACATTGCAATAGCTACATAGAACTCACAGGCAAATTCATGATTAAAGGATTCATTAAGGATGTTAACAAATGATAATGCCAGTGAGAAATGGTCAGGATTGTGTTGTTTATCAGACCATGTGAAGTTCTGTCTGCTAATAAATGCCCAAAGAGCATACCATTGTGCTATAAACATCAACTTGAAGCCATTCAGCTTAAACTCCATGAAGTGCTCAGAGGCACTCTACTCCAGTAAGCCTCAGCTGCAAGGTACTCAGCTCCACTTACATGAGTCAACAAGCCCACCTTCTCCAACTAAGTTTACATAGGCACCCCACTCTGCAAACCAGCCTCCTGTACAGACACACTCAGCTTTATTTGCTCCACGGGCCGGAAAGTCCATCACTCTGGTCCCTGCTCTCGCTCCTGGGTCTATTGCTGCTCCTCTGATGGTATATACGGTTGTCTTCTGGATTCAAAAGGATCACTACGCAGGGATTTGGGAGTCCAGAGGATGCACTCCACTCTTGGTTCCTGCTGGTCATGAGATCCCTCCTCTTGCTTCTCATACACAGCAGGATATTGTTCCAGGGAATACTGTTCACCGTTACTCACAGGTGAATCCTATCAGTATCATCCGCCCATCCCCACCCAACCACACCAAACTAGACCCATGCAGGCGAAGGTCATTTGGTGGAAGTTAGAGACTTTGACTAGAAGTCAAATAATTGACTACCCTCTGAAGTGACTTTAAGAACAGAGTAGAATTGTCCTTATGGGTTTCTGAGGCTGTAAGTCCTTATGGGAGTAGAAAGCCTCATCTTTCTTCTGCAAAGCATCTGGTGGTTTCCAACTGCTGACCTTAGGTTAGCAGCTCAATTTGTAACCCACTCTAGCACCAGATCGCCACTATGTTTAGTGGAAGTGTTGAAAATGGGAAAAGCTTTCAGTCTTTCCCCATTATGTATAGTTATCCTAGAGGACATGGTAGATCTACCCCTCATAGACTTTCCAAGGTTGTAAGTATTTATGGAAAGATCACCTAACTCTCCCATGGAGTTGCTATATGGTTTTTAACTGCTAACCTTTTAGCTTGCAACGGAGCATTTAATCACTTCCCCACTAGTACTTCTTAGGTTGATATTAGCTGTGAGTTTCTCATATATTACCTTTATCATGTTGAGGAATTTTTCTTCTTGTAGTTAATTGGGTGTTTTTATTATGAAATCATGCTGGATTTTATTAAATGCTTTTTCCCCATTAATTGAAATGAGCATGTTTTCTCAACCTTCATTCTACTAATGTAGTGTATTACATTTCTTGATTTTATTTATTAAACAACCCTTGCATTTCTGAAATAAATCATACTTGGTTATGTTATAGAATCCTTTTTAATATGCTGCTAAATTTAATTTGCTAGTATTTTGTGTGGATTTTTACATCTATATTTTAAAAGGATATTGGTCTGTAGTTTTCTTTTTATTGTCGTGCCTTTGTCTAGCTTCAGTGTCAGGGTTCATAGTCATGTCTTTGTCTACCTTCAGTATCAGGGTTCTATGTTAATTTGACTTTATTGTGTGATTGATTTTTAAACAAGTATTTGAAATGAAGAAACTATGAGGAATGAATGTTATGTAGTCCAACTTGGTATAAAAGAAATTAAACCAACTTAGTTGTTTTATTTCTGTGCCCTTAGTTGTTCAACACTTCGTTTTAACATGTATCTAATAAATTGAGAGAAACTCTTTAAAAGCAGACTAGAATTCTTTGTATCCTAGTAGAGTACCTTACACTTAAAAAGTACTCTTAGGAATTTCATTTTCAGGACGGTATTAAAGTGATGGTAGAATGGCTTCTTATGCTAGTAAAGGGGGAAATTGAACATCATTAAATAGCAGGTTAGAATAGCTATTTTGTCAATTAATAATAAATTGTTACTAAAATTGTCTAAAGTACTTAATGTGATATTGTACAGAGAACAATGCAAAATTTTAGAAATCAAATTATGGATACTATAAACAAAAGAATAGGCATGAGAAGTTTTTTAAAGTAGCTTTCAAAAAACTACTTTTATTGAGATGTAAAACACATATCACAGTGCATAAAGAACATTAACATTTAGGGAACAACTTTGTGAATATTTTTTTATGAAGCTGAATTGAAGAACAAAGCATCAGAATTGGACGAGGGCTTATTAGCAGTGTGGTATATGCAGAGGACACAACCTTGCTTGCTGATAGTGAGGAAGACTTGGAGCACCTGCTGATGAAGATCAATGATTGCAGTCTGCGGCATGGATTACAACTCAGTGTAAGGAAGACCAAAATTCTCACAACTGGACGAATAGGTAACATCATGATCAATGGAGAAAAGATTGAAGTTGTCAGGGATTTTTATCTTCTTTGGATCCACAATCAATGCTTATGGAAGCAGCAGTCAAAATCACATGACACATTTCATTTGAGGTAAATCTGCACAAAACCTCTTTAAAGGGTTGAAAAGCAAGAATATTACTTGGAGGAATAAGATGCACGTGCTAGTGAAGAATATTGAAAGTACCATGGACTGGCTAAAAGAACCAACAAATCTGACTTGGAAGAAGTACAACCAGATTGTTTCTTAGAGGCAAGGATGATGAGACTTTGTCTCACATATTTGGGCATGGTGTCAGGAGATAAGTACAGACGAAGGGGAAAAGAAGAAGGCCCTGAACAAGAGGGGTTTACGCAGTGGCTGCCACAATGGGCTCAGACAGTACAATTGTGAAGAAAGCACAGGACCGGACAGTGTTGCATTCTGTTGTATAGAGGGTTGCTCTGAATTGGAACCAACTCAATGGCACTTAACAACAAACAATAGCAATCTGCCCTTATAGCCACCACTTCACATTTCCATTATTCTAGGGGTTCTCGCATGCCTTTTCCAGGCAATACCTGCCCTCCCCTAGCCTCAGCTAGCCACTATGTTGACTCCCATCACCTTAGGTTAGTTTTACTTGTTTCTGAAATTCATGTAAATGGGAATATAGAATACATAATGTTTTGTGTCCGGATTCTTAAGGTCAGCATGTTTGTGTGAGATTTGCCCATGTTACTTCATATGTCAGAAATTGATTATCTTAGATTGCTGTAGAGTTGTGGATATTTCACAGCTTATCCATTTGTCTGTTAATGATTGTTTCCAGTTTGGGGCTTTTATAAATAAGATCGCTATGAATCATATTATACATGTTTTTTAAAGTTTCAAAAGAAAAAAAAAACTTTAAAAGCTGTAGTTATATTGACCGTAGAAATAGGAGCATAATTTAAATAGAACTTTCAGCATATTTTATTAACCATTAATTAAGATTTACTTAAATGTATTCTTAAGTTTCATATAGCATTATTTTATTAAGTATGGCTACTATGGTATGTATATTAATTAAAAAATGAAATAATACCTGAATTCTTATTTCAGTGCATAGTAAATGGAAAGTGATGACTTAGTTTCTGTATTTTGTAAAAGTTAATTTAAAAAGTGGTTACATTAAGATTTTAAGTTGACTCAAACACATTAAATGTTCAGGATTATGTGATATTATCAAAATTTTGTTTCTGTCACCATTGCAATCAAAACATTTTTTGTAATAAAGGAAACCTGGTTAAGGAAAGTTCTAACGTAGACTATATTTACCAATGGGAAATCTGTACATTGAGAATATTTTCATAGTACAAGCACAGGCCTTTTAGAAACCACAGGTTAATCAGTAGTTTCGCATACTATCTTTCAAAAAGTGTGAATTTCAACTTTTTCACTCAAACTTTAATACTCTTTGCTGTTATTCTTCCAAAGTCCTGAACTCTCTGTAATGCTCACTTTGCTGATATGCTTTTCCTAGACGGATATTTCTCTATTTTCTGGGAGTATAACTCAGGTTGGAAGCCCTGTTGGAAGTGCAATGAACCTGATACCTGAGGATGGCCTTCCACCCATTCTCATTTCCACTGGTGTAAAAGGAGGTATGTGAACCTACATATTTAAACAACACTGGTTTTATGCAAGGGACCTTCTAAAAAGCCATTTCCATTTAAAAATATCATTTGTTAGGGGCTCTTACAGATATTATAACAATCCATAAATCAATTATATTAAGCAAACTTGTACATATGATGCCATCCATCATCATTTTCAAAACATTATCTTTCTAATTTAGTCCTTCCCCACCCTCCCGCCCTTGTGAACCCTTAATAAACTATATACTGTTACTATTTTTTCATGTCTTACACCATCCATTGTATCCTTTCAGCCATGTTTCTGTTATACATCCCCCTTGGGGAGGAGCGGGTCCATTATCTTTTAACCCCATTTTTCTGCAACCTTTTTGAAGCCCCACGTATGCCAGCTGTTGCATTCTAGTAGAGAGACAGACTTTCAGTGATATACCCACTCTTCTAACAACAACAAAAAGCTCTATTCCAATTGTTATGCAACAGTTGTTGCTGTTACTGATCATTTTAGAGTAGGCTTGAATAATTTCATTATAGTGTCATTTTCACTAGAAGGACATCATATTAAAAAAATTATTATTAATATAACCCACTGACAATTTTGTTTGTTTGTCTTTATCATTTCAAATTACATCTTACTCTGAAGAGTTACGTATGGTTATGGGTTCGGCTCATCTTAGTACAGTCAATACATTAATTTAACCTTTTTTTGAAGTATAATAAATATTTGGGAAGGAGCTTTGGTGACATAGTGGTTTATGTGTTGGGCTCCTAACCACAAAGTCAGCAGTTCTAAACTACCAGCCACTCTGCAGGAGAATGATAAGGCTTTTTTATGCCTGAATGATTTATAGTTTTGGAAACCTACTCTATACTCTTGGAAACCTACTCTATACTCAATGACAGTGAGATTTATATGTTCAGAAAGATAAATATATAATACATAGAATTCATTGAACTTAAATAGCAATTTTACTGTCAAAAATTTTTATGGAGTCCTGGGAAAAAGTAAAAACATTATTGAATCAGAAAAGAATGTTTAACTTAATGGAAAAGTTCATTATAAATATATCTGGGTCAGTATCTAGTCAGAGCATTTTAGGAAATGGTTTATTAATCTCTCTTTTGTTCTTATCTTTTATCAAGTTCTCCTAACCTCCAATATTTCTCTCTTTTATTTCATCCTTCACACGGTTGTTAATTACCTTTTTCAATGTAGATTCTAACATATATTGTTCTTAGAAGTATTGAATGGATTCTCAAAAGTTTCAGTAGAAATTACTTATTTTGGTGTATAAGGTTCCTCATAGCATAGTTTCAGCCCAACCATTTTCTTAAGTTTATTTTCATCCATCATCCAAACAGCTCAGAAACATTCTATAAATTATTTCATCTCTTTTGAACATTAACTGTTCATACTTCCATGCTTTTATTTTGTTTTGGGTTAGTGGGAAGTAAATAGACTTTTGAGTTGGATAAACCAGAGTTTCTCTCCCAGTGCCACTCTATTTTATCTTGGCCAAATAATTTATCCTTTTTGGATCTGTTTCCTTGTCTATTAAAAAAATAAAAAAGGTAACTGCACCTATGTAAGAATGATTATGAATACTATACTAAACCAGATACTATACCTGAGAGTGAATAGCAAGAAAATATGCATGTTGTGCCATTGAGTTGATTTCAACTAGAGACCTAAACTCATTCATAAAACAAAACCCTGCCTTGTCCCATGCAATCCAACAATCATTGTCATGCTTGAGCCATTGTTGGAAGCCAATGTGTTAATCTGTGTCAGTGTTCTCAGCCTTCCTAATGCCGCAACCTAATACTGTGACCTATTGCCCCAACAGTTCCTTATGTTGTGGTGACCCCCCAAACATAAAATTATTTTCCTTGCTACTTCATCACTGTCATTTTGCTACTGTTATGAATCAGACGACCCCTTGAAAGGGTCGTTTAACCCCCAAAGGGGTCGTGACCCACAGGTTGAGAACTGCTGACCTATCTCATCTCTTCCCTTTTTTCACTGACCCTCCACTTTACCAACCGTGACATCCTTCTTTTGCCTTTCTGATAACATGTCTCAAGTATATAATGAAGTCTTGCCATCCTCACATCTAAGGAGCCTCGTGATGATATTTCTAAGTCAGATGTGTGTGCGTTTCTGACAGTCCACATTGCATCCAATATGATCTTTCTTCAGTCTTCCTTACTCATCTATGTTTCACGTGTGTAAGATGATTGACAATACCTTAAATGAACCCCTTAGTTATCCAAGTGACACCTTTGCTTTTTAACACTTTAAATGGGTCTTTTTCAGTAGATTTGCCATGTGTAATATGTCATTTTATTTCTTGACTGCTTCTTCCGTGGACATTGCTTATGAATTCAAGTAAAATGTTCTTAGAGTTATTGAATGGATTCCCAGTAGCTTCAATAGAAATGACTTATCTTGGTATATAAGGCTCAGTTTCAGTAGTTTCAGTATTTTCTTAGTTTACTATGCTATTGTTTACTGGTATAGTTAAAAGGGTTGTTGTTTTCTTTTTGTTGAGTTATTGAGGTGTAATCTATACTGAAGGTTGTAGTCTTCGCTCTTCACCAATAAGTGCTTCATGTTTTCTTTGTTTTCATCACGTAGAGTTGTGTTATTTGCATATTACAGGTTGCTGAGTCTTCTTCCAATCTTGAAGCTACATTCTTCTTCACAAATTCCAGCCTCATACAATGAGTATGGTGAAAGGTTACAACTTTGCCACTCACCTTTCCTGATTTTATATTCCCTTCTTTTGTTCAAATGACTACTTCTTAGTGTTTGTACAGGTTCTGTATGAGCACAATTAAATATTCTGGAATTCCCCTTTGTCTCAAGACCATCAACACAATTGAAT